CATGTGATAACTATTTTCAAGGAGCCAAGTTGACCTTTTTCCCTTGACTTTGCTTGGGCAGGTTCTAAAGCTGGTGACAGACCTGAGAAACCACCCTGCAGTTGCATTCATGGCCATTGGGTACCCCATGGTGATCAGTTCTGATGATCCAGGCTTCTTTGGTGCTAAAGGCTTGACCCATGATTTCTATGAGGCCTTCATGGGCATTGGCGGGATGAATGCTGACCTGAGGACACTCAAACAGCTGGCTATTAACTCTTTCAAGTGAGTGTCTTTGCATAATTCCTGTATCCCCCAATCCCCTCTTTCATCTCTCCATCCCACCATGGGGCAACTTGTATTTATCTCTACTAGAAGTTTGGGGTGAAAGTCTAGATGGTTTCTATGGGTTTTCCCTATATCACCTCTGATCTGCTCCAATTCTTGGATGGGGAGAAATATGTTCTAGGAGCATCTTGTTGTTGTGCCATGAACAAGTGCCGTTGAATCTGTTCCGACCCATAGTGACCCTGTATAGGGTTTCTGAAGAATGAGCTTGAACGGCCAGCCTTGCAGTTCAAACCAACTTTGTAATCCAGTGTGTTAACTCACAGAGCCACAGAGCTCCTTATATTCCTTGTCTCTTTCCTCCACCTTTACTCTGGAACTGACCTAGGTTCTTCTTCTCCTGTAGGTACAGTTCCTTATCATCATCTGAGAAAAAGACTGCCCTACAGACCTGGGAGAAGGAATGGGATACGTTTATAGATAACCTAGTCAAGAAGTAAGGAGAAGACAGTCATTCCCCAGCTGTTTCCCTACTTCCCTTTAGTCAAGTACAAAAAGAGTGTCACTGGATGAGTTATCTTCACTTTTCATTAACTTAAATCCACTCCAATAAAGTCTCTTCACCTCCAGTACTTTATCAAAACTGACTCTTGTGAAAGTTGTCAATGGCCTTCATAGTGCTTGACCCTCAGAAGCACTTGATCAGTTGACCAAATTTACCTTTTTGAGATATTCCTATTTTTCAACCTAAGCTGTCTTGATTTCTTCTCTCTCTCTTTAGCCATTGCTTCTGGTTTCCCTTCCCCAGATTCCCTTTCTCTATCTGATCTCTGTGTTGGCTTTCCTTAGGGCTCAGTATGGGGTCTCTTCTCTTCTCTTCTTTACTCATTCTATACCCTTTTCCTGGGTAGACTCATCCATTCCCATGCTTTCAAATACTATTTATTTGCTGATGATTTCTAAATGTAATTATCCACTTGGATGGCTCATAGAAATCTCAGAAACCTGCCATGAGTAATCCTAAACCCTGACCCACTTACTTTTAAGCATGCTCATTTCTTGGTCTTTCCTATCTTGGTAAATGACATCTCTATTTATCTATTACCACCAGTTGAACAAGGTGAAAAATTTCAAAGAAATGCATAACACTATTCTCCCCTCTGCTCCCTACATTCAGGGCATCATCAAATCCAAATACATCTACCTTCAGAATGTATTTTGAATCAATCTACTTATCTCTACCTCTCCTGCTGTTGTTGTTGTTATAAGGCACCCTTTGAGCTGGTACTGACTCATAGCGACAGAATGAAACACTGCCGGGTCCTGTGCTAACCTCACAACCGTTGCTACACTTGAGCTCGTTGCTGCTGCCAATCCATCTCCTTGGGGGTCTTCCTCTTTTTCACTGACCTTCCATTTTACCAAACATGATATCCTTCTCCAGGGGCAGGTCCCTCCAGATAATATGTCCAAAGTATGAGAGATGAAGTCTGGCCATCCTGGCCTCTAAGGAGTATTCTGGCTATACTTCCAACACAGATTTGTTTGTCTTTTGGCGGTTCATATTGTGGTTGTTAAGTGCCATTGAGTCGGATTTGACCCATAGCAACCCTGTATAGGGTTTCCAAGGAGTAGTTGGTGAACTTGAACTGCCAACTTTGAGGTTCAAACTAACATTGCAGTCCAGTGGATTAACACACATCACCACACCAGGACTCCTGGCAGTCCATAGTATTTTATATATTTTCCTCTAACATCATAACTCAAATGTTTCCCAGGCTGGAAATCTTTATGGGAGCAGAAAGCCTCATTTTTCTCCTGCTGAATGGCTGGTAGTACCCACTACTACCTGAGTCACTCCTAATTGATCTTTCTTTTATTCTTTTTGACCCTTCAATTCAGAGCAGAGTGACTTTGTAAAAATGGAGGCAAAATTCATATAACATATGATGAACTGTTTTGAAGTACACAATTCAGTGGCATTTAGTACATTCACAATGTGGTACGACCACGAGCTCTATAGAATGCCTTTTTAAAAATTAAATTAAATTGGGTTACCCCATTGTTTACAACCCAGTGCACTTAGAATAAAATCTAAATGTCGCAGCAGGGTTTATAGCTCTCTGCGTAATCTGGTGCCTGCCTCTCTTTCAGTGGTACCCTGCTTCCATTGCCTGCTAGTGCCCACCGTGCTGGACATTTGTTCCTCAAGAACCCTGGGGCACATGAGGATAAGCACTGAACTGCTAACCACAAGATTGGTGGTTCAAACCCATCAACTGCTCCATGGGAGAAAGATGAGACTGTCTGTTCCCATAAAGATTTACAGTCTCTGGAACCTTCTCTAGGGTCACCATGCATCAGAACTGATTCAGTGACAGTGGGCTCCTTTTGCTTCATTTTTTGTCCTCACTCTTTCCTCATTGTCTCCACCAGGACTCTCCTTTCTTCCCATTTTTATCTAACTTCTGTTCACTCTTTAGGTTTCAGGATTAATGCCATTGACTTAGAAGGGTTTTCCTGACCTTTTGTCATTCTCTTGCATACCACTCTCTTCTTTTCCTCATGACTCTTATCATGACTTATGTACTGATTTCCATGTTTATAGTCCTCCCCTCTCCCCTCTAGACTGTAAGCTCCATGTGGGCAAGCATGAACAAATGTGTCTCTCACACCATGATGCTGGATCCTAGCTCAGTGCCCCAAACCTAGTTAGTGCTCAATAAAAGACGGCTTGAATAAATGGCTGCATTCTGTATTTGTTGAATTACTTGCTGAGACAGGAGGGAGCAGAGCAGAATCTCCCCAAATCTAAGATTTCACGGATCCAGTCTGGCTCCTAGCATGGTTTTTGGGAGAAGAAAGACATGAAGCTAGTCCTGTTTTCACTATACTAAAGGAGCTCTGGTAGCGTAGTGGTTACGAATCGGGCTGCGAACCTAAAGGCCAGCAGTTCTAAACTACCAGCTGTTCCACGGAAGAAAAATGAGGCTTTCTGCTCCCGTAAAGATTTACAGCCTCGGAAACCCTGTACAGGGTCACTATGGGTCGGAAACGACTCAACGGCACTTAACAACAACAACAACAACAACAAAGGAGTTGAAGGAGAATCTAAGAATTTGTTAGAAGTCCCAAATAGATTCTAATATCTTCCTATCCATTACTCATCACCTAAGTTCCAGGTTCCTGAGCTCCCAGGCCAGCACGGCCTCTGGTTAATGGTATTGGAACAAGCCTTGTCCACTATGGGTCATCAACATAGGCTGGGGACTTGGTGGAACAAAACTACCTCTAGGATTCTGTCAATTCTGAGGGTTTTTGATTCATTGCCTTAACCAATCCAAGCAGATTTCTTTCAGGTTTCAATATAATAGATGTTCATTTAATAAATGATGAGATCATAAAAAAGACCATACTTAGTAGTATGATAAAGACGTGTGGAACCCCTGAGACTGTGGCCCTTAGATACCCTACAATCCTGGAACTGAACTCATTCTGAGAATCAACTTTCAGCCAAACAATTGTTGTTGTTGTTAAGTGCCCTCAAATCGGTTCAGACTCATAACAACCCTGTGTAGGGTTTCCAAGTAGCAACTGGTGAGTTTGAACTGCCGATCTTGAGGTTCAAACCAACCTTGTGGTCCAGTGCTTATCCTACAGTGCCACATCAGTACTCCAGCCAAACAGTAGACAGGACTATAAAAGTGAATACTCTGGTAGTGTAGTGGTTAGGAGTCCAGACGAAAACCCTATACAAGGCCGCTATGAGTTGTAGCTGACTCCACATCACACCACCACCACCACCATAAAAGTGAATAATAACATCAGGGAGGAAGGTACTCCTTAGTACAACCATAGACACCAAAAGTGCAGAATTTGCCCTAACAAAGCTCAGAATGGGGGAAGAGGCAGGAAAGACTAACAAAAGGAAATGACAAAAGGGAACTCAGGAATGAAATGGGAAGTGTTGTTACATCCATAGAAGGCATTGCCAAATGCTACAAAACAAAATATGTATGAATTGTTGAGTGGAAAACTAATTTGCCGTTTTTTACCGAAACTACAATTAAAAGTTTATATATGCATATATATGTGTGTGTGTGTATGTATATATGGCCATTAAGTCAGTTCTGACCCATAGTGACCCTGCATAGGGTTTCTAAGGAGCAGCTGGTGAGTTTGAACTGCTGACCTTAAGGTTCAAACCAATCTTGTGGTTCAGTGCTTATCCTATAGGGCCACACCAGGACTCCATGTATATATGGTTACTATGAGTCACAACTGATTCCGTGGCACTTAACAACAATCAACAGTGCTCTTAATACTGAGATGGTCACTGAAGAGCTGAAGGCTAAACTTCAGATTAAAGCAGAGGACTTCTATTCAGGTGCCTGTGATCTTGCATGACAATGTATGTCTGCACACCTCTACCCACACTGTTGGCACTCCACAAAAACTTTGTTTTGAGATATTAAAGCATCCTCCTTATAGTCCTGATTTTGCTCTATTGGACTTGCACCTGTTTGGTCCACTGAAAGAAGCCCTTTGAGGATGAAGATTCACCTCTAATGAAGAAGTGAAGACAGTGGTACAGTCATGGCTTGCAGCTCAACCTAAAACATTTTTAATATGGGAATAAGAAAATTTTTTGACAGACAGACAAAGTGTATTGAAAAGCAAGGAGATTATGTTGAAAATGACGTATTTGTCTTTTCTAAAAGTTGATTAAAATAAATTCTATGGCCAAAATACAGATAATTTTGACTCACCCTGTGTGTGTGTGTGTGTGTGTGTACAGGTAAACAGTAGGTATATATATATATTGTTGTTGTTGTTAGGTGCTACCATATCAGTTCCAACCCACAGCGACCCTATGCACAACAGAACGAAACACATCTGGTCCTGTGCCATCCTCACAATTGCTGCTATACTTCAGTCCATTGTTGCCCACACTGTGCCAATCTACCTCATTGGAGGTCTCCTTCTCCTTCACTGTCCTTCCATCCTACCAAGCATGATGTCCTTCTCCAAGAACTGATGCCTCTTGATGATATGTCTGAAGTATGAGAGATGAGTGTGGTCATCTTGACTTATAAGGAGCATTCTGGTTGTATTTCTTCCAACACCAATTTGTTTGTTCTTTGACAGTCCATAGTGGTGGTGGTTATGTGCCATGGAGTTGGTTCTGACTCATAGCAACCCTGTTTAGGGTTTCCAAGGTTGTCAATCTTTATGGGAACAGAAAGCCTCATTTTTCTCTCACGTAGCAGTTGGTAGTTTCAAACTGCTGACCTTGACGCTAGCAGCCCAACTCATAACCATTATGCTACCAGAGCTCCTAAATATTTATAAGGATAATAACTTTAATATTTTTCTCCAACACCATACCTCAAATGCATCAAGTTTTCAATAGTCTTCCTTATCCTTTGTCCAACATTCACATGCATATGGGACTATTGGAAGTATTGTGGCTTGGATCAGGTGCGCTGTAGTCCTCAAA